CCCTCGACCAACCGTTACCCCTCAAGATCTGTTACAAGTTTCAGATTCTGGCTTCAGCATGACGGACTGGCTTCAGCATGACGGAAGTCATACGACAGCATATGATTTTGGTCTTTTGCTTTAATTTCATCAGTGTGTGTGTGCTTCAACTCAACCCTCTGATTTATAGCAAGAAAAGAATTGTCATTATAGACGGGGATGTGTATGCCGTTACAGTAAAGTCCTTATCAGGATTAAACAGAAAGGAATGGATTTATGCTTCGACAGTTCTGCAGTTGTACACTAAGTTCTTTTTGCTTTTGTTTTTGTTAATGAGGGAATGAGAACAGCCGCTGACAATAAACGTAAGACTCTATCGATAGTCATTGCTAACGTTTGTTCACGTTCATTTGTTTATTTATTTTATTATTAGAGATACTCTGCGACACTTTTATTTTCAGTACAAGTAAAAGACAGAGGCCCATCTCAGCTGACTTGTGAGTGGAAACCGCAACGTATTTCAAGGTCGCCCAGTCTCTCTCTCTCTCTCTCTCTCTCTCTCTCTCTCTCTCTCTCTCTCTCTCTCTCGTTCTCTCTCTCTCTCTCTCTCTCTCTCCTACCTTTCACTCGACTCTGAGCCTGACAGAGGCTCCGTTCAATGCTAAAAGAACGTTGCTGTCTTTGAGTTTTTTTGTGTGTTTTTTTCAGCGAAGCTAGGCGATAATTGTGCCTACATTTCATTGCAGTCAATAGATTGTTGCATGCTGTTATTGCATAAATACTGATAAGATATCGGTAGTACCGCCATTTGCATAAATGTTTGTGCCACATGTCGCAACTGTTTAGAGAATAGATAGGACTCCCATTGACAAATTGTGGAGCCAGCGAGTTGCCACTTATGCTCTATATATATACATTGATTATGACAGCAGGAATTTAAATATTAAAAGAGACTGTGTTAGAATGAGCATTGCTATGAAGTATAAGTATAGAACTCTGTTCTTACTTCTGAATGCCAGTCTCCATTGTATATATATTGATATTTCTGATTTAGTACATTTATTTTTATTGTTTATTATTCTTATTTTTAGATCATGATTATTAGTAATGTTATTATGTTGACTGATATTGTTGCTATCTCTCAATGGCCTGTTGCTAATTATTATTTTTGAAATGAAATCAGCAGTAACTTGATGATTTGTATCTTTTATCTGAATTCATACTTGATGTTACTGTAGCCACCGCTAATAAGAATGTTTCTTTAGTGGCTTTTCTCAGCATTTAATGATTGTTCTTTTTGACATTTATAGTAGAGTAATGCTATGTAGCAGTTGCTAAGTCCTAAGTATCTTGGAATAATAATCTAGTTGTGTAGACACATACCTTCCATTACCACCCTATTCCTAGGCAGCCCCGACCTGCAAGTTCTAAAAGTCTTTAGATTTTGTCCGTTCAGACAAGTCCCTAGTGCCCATTGAATAGAGATTGCAATCACTTGCAGTTGCAGGGGAGGCAAAGTATAGCCTCGATTACCAACGTATGGCCATTGTTGGTACCCTGAAGTCATAGGGAACCTTTCTTGTAACTGTAGTAGTGACATAGGTTCAAATTTTCATCCCGAGATCTGCTTCGAAGGTACGTGTGGAGGGCCGTACAGGAAGAGAATCGCTGTGACGTTGCAGGTCTCCTGCGTGGTGGTCTTAGTCAAGATCGGCCGAGGGCGGGATGAGGAAGCCGGGCTGGAAGGATTAGCGGATGGGCCCAGTCCTTGTCCTTTTTGTTTTGCCTATCCGAGTAACGGAGATAGGGCAACAAACCTGGGCCTGCAGCAAGGACAGCGAGGGAGCGAAAAAATAGAATCCCCGAGGGAAACCGTGGAATCGCACCTAGCAAGAATTCATGAGCAAGGGACAGAGAAAACGAAAGTCGTCCTAGACAGAGAAAACGAAAGTCGTCCTAGACAGAGAAAACGACAGTCGTCCTAGACAGAGAAAACGAAAGTCGTCCTAGACAGAGAAATTAAAAGTCGTCCTAAGACAGGGAGAACAGTCCTAAAAGAATAAAAGTTTTAAACTACTTTAAAAAACCATGTAATCTTGATGAAATCCCAGAAACAAGGAGATCCCCATACATGTCCAAACTTTAGTGAAGAGAGAAAGAAGGGTATTTAAAAATCCCTTATTAGTTAATTAAAGTTACCCCCGTATTAGAACTGAAAAAAAATGGGAAAGAAAGTGTCCCCACCGTCTTTTGTGCTAAAAAAAAGACAAAATATTTTTATTTTTATGTTTATTTTTTTGTTTTACTAGCTTTAAGATAATTTTAAGCGAAAAACTCAGTCTCCCTTAGATATAGTTTTGAATAAGTGCCGTTGATAAATTGTATGATTTGAACTAAGATTAATAAGTTGTTTTTCTGCTTAAATAATATTAGTGTTTTGTTTTAGCATTATTATTATTTGAATTATGATTTAATCTTTGTGTCCATTAAGTTCTCCTATCCATTGGTCTCTGAATAGTAA